AATAGTGTCCATTATAAACTTGAATAAAAATAAACATATTTCTATGATACATGGTAATTTGTTCTGCAATAATTGATTTCACCCTCATTATCCGGAACATTCTGTAACCACAAATATAACAAATCACTAAATCCAATCACTTTCAGACTTTTTTTTCATCTCTCATTCATTACCATTTAACAATATTGACTCTTCCTTCCCTTCTGAAACACTCTCATCTCTTATCTTCTGTGCAATCATCCCGGTTCTCAGCCCTTCATTCTCAGTAACTGTGATTGGTGTCTTCTATAACAGTATCTTATATATTGGTGTTTCCTTAGGCTTTTTCCTAAATACTGTTCTCTTATAATGCTACATATGCGGCCCTAAAAGAATGGCCTATTCCCATGGCATAAATCACCATATAAATCTCATTGATAAACCTCTATCATGTCAGAAACTGTATCAATTGCTTAATGATTATCTCTTTATATAAAATCACAAGCATCTTTGGTTCAATAAATCACAAATAAAACTCACGATCTCACCCTGCCCTTCTCCCAATCTGTGCCTCCAAGTCTCTCACATCTCAGTAAAAGAAATCCAGGCACAACTCATACACCTGAGTTTTCTTTCCTTCTGTCCTTTCTCTTATCCTCAATATCCAATCTGTCAACACATCCTACAGTTTCTGCCACATTAAACCTCTTTTTCATTCATCCACTCCTTATCTGGTTGCATCACTATCCTGGCTGGGCTGACATCATGTCTTATCTGTACTATTGGAACAGGCTCTTCTCTCTTCACTCATCTCTCTGCTTCCACACTTGAACACTTTCTCCTTTGGGACGCCTGAGTGGCTCAGTCCGTTAAGCATCTGCCTTCGGCTCAGGTCATGATCCCAGGGTCCTGGGATCGAGCCCCGCATCGGGCTCCCTGCTCAGTGGGGAGTCTGCTTCTCCCTCTGACCCTCCACCCCTCTTGTGCCCTCTCTCTCACACTCTCTTCTCTCAAATAAATAAAATCTTAAAAAAAAAAAAAACCCACTCTCTCCTTCAATATACTTCATTCACAATGTGGCATTCTAAGATGAAAATCTGATCATCATTCTTCCTGATGCCTTCATGGATTCTCATGGCTCTTAAGATAAAAGGCAGGGGACGCCTGGGTGGCTCAGCCAGTTAAGTATCTGCCTTTGGCTCGGGTCATGATCCCAGAGTCCTGGGATTGAGTCCTTCATCGGGCTCCTTGCTCCACGGGGAGCCTGCTTCTCCCTCTGCCTCTCCCCCCTGCTTGTTCTCTCTCTCAAATAAAATCTTAAAAAAAAGATAAAGGCAAAATTCCTTTCAAAGGAATTGCACAAAAGGTGCTTCATGACCTGACCCTTGCCGACTTCCACAGCTTCACCTGGCCCCATAGTGACACTCACAGTTACCTCTCCAGAAATGCTGGACTTGAAAGGCACAATTTCTTGCTTCCAGCCTTTTCTACTTGCTGTCCCACCCCTGCCTAGCATCTTCCTCCCTCTGCTTCCTCTTCACCTGTTTGCTCCTACTCACCCTTCAGCCATATTCCATGTCACTTACTCAGCTGTATCTCTCCTGTCCCCACTCCTCAGACCAGGTGAGAACCTGCTACTATGTTTCCCTAGCATCCTGTACTTGTCCCTAAGACACTAAATGCCCAGGGGATTGTTTCCAGCTGTTCTCCCTATTGCATTGTAAACATGCAGGAAAGGCCCCGTCTGCCTTCATGACTGCAGAAGTGTCAGCACCTGGCTCAGTGCCTGGATATAGCCAATGTTTCATAAATATTTACTGGCTGTGCTTCAGGCTGAGACATGCATTCCTTCAACTTTAGAGACAGCAAACTCTTATTAGAATATCTACTTCTTAAATAACCATCTTAGAACAAAAACTTACTTTTTGACACTTTATTATAGAATTCCCTGACATAACCTCTAACTCGTGGAAAATCTGACCTTCAACTACACTGCTCTTTAACCTAAACAGACAACCCAGTATACATCCACACCATCACTATTTCCTTGTGTTATATCCACAAGATTCAGCGATATTGCTGTAAAAAAAAATGAATCTGATGGATCTTGAGATTTAGTAATTTGGGGAGAAAAGGAAGAAATAAAGGTAATTTCTACACTTGAGACCTTATATAGCAATATTTATTAATGCTATCATTAAAAAAAGACTAAATGCAACTGTTGTGAACATCAGTCAAAATAGTTCCAGAATGTGGGGAAGTCTCAGGATGCAGGGAGGTGAAGACGACGAGGGTTATCATACCTGAAGAACTATCCTGCAGAACGTCACACACCTGGGAAAGCAAGGTCCTTGGGTTGGAAGGACCTAAGGGACCAGCTCATTCCCTCTCTGCCCAACTTACCCAGTGTGTCTGAGGGTGACTCCAGCACCTAACCTAAGGTCCCGTTTCCCCTTATTTACCGAGACATGTGAAGCGACAGCCTCTGTAGTTGTCACCTGTGTCTGTAACATCCCTTCTCACATGTCCCGTTCTACACATCCCTGGGCCTGAGGGGCCCTGGATCCCAGAGGAGCCTAGGTCCTAAAGGAACTCATTAAAGACACAGAAATTACCCAGGACCCTTAGGACAAATGCTCTGAGTCCTGGAGCAGTGACTATTACATCACTGGTCACACCTGACTATATTGGGGGAAAGTGAGGAAGGAGAGAAGTTCATATATGGATGCTTAATCACTGCCTGTTTAGGGAATGGACAGTAGTCCCATGGGGCTAGAGCCCACATTTTGGTAGGTGAAGGAGAATGGTTGGAGAAGCCATAGAAAGGAACAGGGACCAGGCCATGAATATCCTAAAATATCTTACAGTGTAAGAGGATTTATCTTGTGGGCAAGAAGAAGTCATCAGTGGTTTTTGAACAAAGTGCCATGAAAGACACATATTTTGGCAAGATTGCCAGGGTGCCATAATCTCTCACCATGATCCAGTTTCTCATAAACATACTCAAGGGGAGAGATAAACCTGCAGCTAACAAAGATGAGATCTCTATGACCCAAGCATATGCAGATGCATAGAAAGTACTGGAATAAAAGAGAATTCTCCCAGATTATTTTCAATTTTTCCTCAAGCAGAGAGAGAAAAGAAGCCCAGATTTTCATTCCTTTGAGGTATGTTTAGCTTCTTACCCTGTAGGAAGCCTTAATAGCACCCTGCCACCACTCTCCTCATGTGTCAGATTACCTCATTTCCAGCTGTTTCTTACTCTGTATTGATCATAAGGCCATAGGTAATATTTATAACTCCTTCTTCCTTATTTCCTCTATGTGTATCACTTCAGCTTTACATTCTGAAATACATGTTTCTTTACATTCAACTTTCATTCCTTGGGAGTCTGAATCCTCAGTGTTAATATCTTTATTGGGTTACTATAGTTTACCATTAACTTTTACTAAGGAGTACTCCAAAGAGTACTCCTGGATATCAGGCATGGTCTTTCCACATTGTGTAGAGAAATCCAATTTTCTATTGTTAATTTGGATTGAATTACCCCAGATAGTATGGTAACTCATTTCTTTGCCTGTTGGTTCAGTAACACACAAAAAAAACTAAAATGGTCAAGTGGCAGTCTCAGCTTCCTGTAGAATAGAACCATTAAAGCAATCCTGGTAGAAACATTCCTGAGGAGCTGTACCAGAAACTTCTTGTGCCCCACTTCAGATTCTCTCAGACATCTTCTTTTATTCCAGCTACAGCTGCAGTAACCAGTTCTGCAGACTTCGATCAGCTTCACAGAGATACAATCTAACTGTATTACCTCAGGCCTGCTCCACCTGCTTATTGCATCCTGTCAGAGGGTTTTTCTGCTTCCATGGAGTAGAGTATCACGGGTAGCCAGTTCAATACTGATACATACACACTGAAAATGGGAGTTCGGGACCCATGCTCCAACCCTTAAAAAAAACAAGTGGTAGGGAGCTAAGGAATATATGCTCCCCATTTTCACTCAGGTGGACGGTTCTATGATGCATTTCACCAAGCCTTATTCACACCAGTAGTAGCCAACTTAATAAGCCACCCCAGTTATTGGTACTTTCTTGGCTATTTACATCCCTCTGCCTCTTCCTGTGAGGTAACAGTCCCAAATAAACTACTAGCAAAAAATAAGATTTTGTCTACATTTTGAGCAACCCAGACTACAACAGAAAGTAAGATCTCTAAACAAGCAGTCTAGAATTGTCAGGGAAGCAAAAATTTTATGAGTACATTATTTGGTCTAATAATGACAAGAGTCAGTCCTGCTACCACCTCTCGATTCCCAGATTCCTAAATCATGGCTATGGGAGAAATAGCACCATATATGGGTTCTTGGTTCAAAGTATATACCATATTCTATAGAAGTGTATACCAATCTTTCTGGATGTCATCTCCCAACTGCCATCACAACTGAATCTTTGGTATAAGGCAGTAACTGCAAAGCCAGAAAAAAACCTGCTATCATCCTCCTTTCATATACCTTCCAAGGGATTCTTCCATCTTGATTGTTTTTGAAGCTGGAGACAATCATTCTCCACTTGTTTGTTTCATAGAGTGGTAAGCAATTGAGATCTTAAAATGAGGGCAGGGAGAGGATGTAGAGAGGAAAGACCAGAGTGCAAATGCATTTTAGAAGGACAGATATAAGGAAATAGAGAATTAAATGCAAATTATATATAAATATATACATAAATATATATATTACATATGCTCACTAAATATTTGAAATGATTAAATGAACTGCATAGATTAGTAGCTCCAGTATAATGCTTAGTAACTGTACTGATAGTGGGCACCCTTGTCTTATTCCTGATTTTAGTGAGAATGTCTCTATATTTCCCCATTAAGCTTGATGTTGGCTTTTGGGCTGACTCAAAGATATTATTACATCATGTTAAATAAGCATCTATTCCTATTATTTTGAGCATTTGTATCTAGAAATGGTTATTTAATTTTAGCAAATGTACCATTTTCATTAAAAAAAACTCTTTCCACATTTAAAAGGATTGAAATATTTTAATTCAACAAATGAAATACAAAAGAACAGTAGCTATAACCATGGAGATGATCATTTAAACAATAATAGGAAAATGCTTTAAATTATACTATTTAAACTTCCCTTATCACTACTTAAATTTCATTCGTTGTATCAGTGTAATACCTCATCTCAGCATCTACAATTTTAACAAATGCTTGGAAAGTTTTTTGTTCAGAAACAGATGCTGGTCTAACAGAAACACATTTGAAAATATTCTTCTTCTGGTCATAGTTTCCAACACACCTATGAACTCGGCCTCTAATCAGTCTCGGAAGTTCACGATCCTGTTTTAAAAAAAATAAATATCAAAGAAGTTATTTTTTTACTTCATCTGAATTTCAGTTTTTTAAAACTAATCATATGACCAATTAAATATGAGTCACCCCAAAAAGCTGTAATTCCCTCACCTGATTTAGGGCCCCACCGCTGGTAAGACCATGATAGCTAGGCATATATGGGTGCCCTATCACAGAGGAAAGACCTTCACTTGGGTAGGACTTCTTTCAAGCTGGTGAGCTGCTGCTTCTTAAAAGACTGAATAACTCCCAGTGTAATGGCACATGAATTATTCACTTTATTAGACTGCTAGAGTTCCACTTCCAGTAGACAGCAGACAGGTAGTTCAGACCAACTCTCTAGCTAAGAACAACTAGAATAGCTGGATGAAATATTTTTAAATCTCCTTGTAGACATTAGAGAGATACCAATGCAGTGAGGGAGTAGAGAGACTCCCATCTGGGAGAGGACAGGAGTCCAAAGTGGGGCTTGACATTTAGGGATGTTTCCTCCCTTGAGATTATCTGTCAAGAATAGTCAAGGCAGTTGAGAGTCTAAGAAACTGAGCAGAGCTTTTGACAGGCTCCTAGGACTGGGAGATAAAAAAATGGAATCAGAGGCTCCCAAGGAAAAGAGATTCTGGTCACCATTCCCATCCTCACCCCTGGCTTAGGGTTGGTACCCAAAAGGGCTATGCCTTTCATGGGACTAGTAAAATGGAAAAAGACCAGCCAGCATCAAATCCTCTCAATCATTAACTAAAGGTACGTATTCTGGAATTGCTTTCACCAAATGGTCATAAAAAGCACTAGCTACAAAAGGTAGTATTGATAATTGCTAAAAAGACTATATTAAAAAGCAGAATTTCTATTCCTCAAAAGCCATCATTAAGACTAAAAAAGCAAACTATGGAGTATGAGAAAAAATTTGTAATACAAATAATGGATGAATAACTTGTACCCAAAATAGTCACATGAAAAAAACCCTCCAATAAATCAGTAAGGATAAAACAATAATAGAAAAAAAAAGAACAAGAGGCCTGAACAGACTTTACAGAAGAAGGTATCTAAGTGGCCAGTAAACATATAAGGTGTCTGACCTCATTAGTCACCAGGGAACTGTAGAAAAGTAAGATAGCACTAAACACCCACATAGCTGAAATAAAAAAGACTGACAGTACTAAGTGTTGATAGGAATGCAGAAAAACTATAACTCATCTACACTGATTGTGAGAGTGTAAAGTACAAACCTTTGGAAAATTCTTTGGTAAATAACTACTATACTGGAACATACACATGCACTATGATGCAGTGATTTTACTTCTAGGTATATGCTCAACAGAAATGTGTGCATATGCACAAGAGACATATACAAGAATATTCATAGAACATTATTCATAACAGCAAAAAATCTGGAAACTTGGATGCCACCAGCAGAATAGAAAGCTAAATTGTGTTACGATAGAATACTGTACATGGAAATATAAATAAATGGACTACAGCTACATGAGACAACATGATGAATCTTACAAACATTGTGTTGAGGGAAAGACATAAAAGACATACCATATAATACTATTTATATAAGGTTCAAAACTAAACAATTAATTTGTGATATTAAAAGTCAGGATAGTAGCTGTTTTTAGGTAGGAGACAGGAGGTAGTGAATGGGAGGAGACACAGGATGCATAGGGTGACAGCAATGTTTTATTTCTTAGCCTTAGTAATGTTCACTTTGTGATATTTCATAGGTACTTCACAGAACTGTACAATTATGATTTGTAAACTTTTAGGTATATGTTATACTTCAATAAAAGATTTTTATAAACTTAACAGACTAGAAAAAATAAGCATTAAAGATATTATAGAAATTAATAATATAATTACTATTTCTTGATCATCTACTATGTATCAGAAGATGTACATTCATATATTTTATTATCTAACCTCCATAACAACTTTTCAAAGTAGGAATTAGTCTCCCCATTTTACAGGTTAAAAAAACTCAGGAAATTTAAGCAGCTTATTCAAGGTCATATAGCTAGTAAATGGTGGAGTAAAACTGGAATCCAAGCCTGATTTCAGAATTAAGGACAATTTCAGAATTAATACCGAACTCTTCTACAAAGCATATAAGTTTTACAAAATCTCCAGCCTCCTTTGTCACCTGCAGCCTCCTTTGTCACTAAGAGTCTTTCCTATATCCCAGCCCACTCCCTGCCTTCCTCCAACTTCAGAACCACTATCCTTCCCACTCTGGTGATTATTAACTACTTGCAGTTTCCTCTACAATCTATGCTCTCAGCTTCATGTCCTTGCATATGCTGCCCTCTCACCTAAGAATGCATTCCTCCCACCTCTCCCCTCTCCCAACACACTTTTGCTTCATTTATTCCTCTTTAAATACGTAAGATAAGTTACTACATTCTTCAAAAATCTTTCTCTGATCTGCCCCATCCTTCCTATCTACTTTTATAGCACACTGTACATACCTCTACCTACCATTTATCATACCACAGTGTAACACTTATGTAACTCTTTCTATCTGAGATTATAATAAACTCTTTGAGAGAAAGAGCTGTTTAGCACTTACATTCCACTTTGTATCCCTTGCATCTAGCACAGCACCTGGCACATAGTAGGTTATCTATATTAGCTGAACAAATAAACTTTTTTTTTAAAGATTTTATTTATTTATTTGACAGAGAGATAGAGAGAGAAAGAGCACAAGTAGGCAGAGAGGCAGGCAGAGGGAGAGGGAGAAGCAGGCTTCC